CCCTCGGGCCCCGTCTCCATGCACACTCGGGCCCCGTCTCCATGCATGCACAGGCCCCGTCTCCCTGCACCCTTGGTCCCCGTCACCCTGTGCCCTCGACCCCCGTCTCCCTGCGCCCTCGGGCCCCGTCTCCCTGCGCCCTCGGGCCCCGTCTCCCTGCACCCACAGGCCCCGTCTCCCTGCACCCACAGGCCCCGTCTCCATGCACCCACAGGCCCCGTCTCCCTGCACCCACAGCCCCTGTCTCCCTGCACCCTCGGGCCCCGTCTCCCTGCACCCTCGGGCCCCATCTCCCTGCACCCTCGGGCCTGTCTCCCTGCACCTGCCGGCCAGCTGCATAGACACAGCACTGCTGCTTCACGACGGGTGTTCAGGCCCGTTTTATTACATCTCATGCTTCAGAACACTTAAAGCAGCACAAACCAAAATTGAAGAAAAAAACCAAACTTGAGGTAACCGTTTGAACTGCTGAGATAGCCCTAAGAATCACGTTCTTAAAAAATCACAGGGAATCTGGGCAGGGCCTACTGAACAGATTATTTTTAAGTGTCTCATTATTTTATTGTCTAGCATTTAATGTGGGCGCTTTAACTGCACACAGCTGAAGCTGCTGAATGGGTGCCGAGATGGGTCTGAGTCCTTCTGAGCTTTGTTGACACCTATAAAAGTTTACGCCATTCATTAGAGCCACAGATTATAATTAGCTGTGGTGGGCTGCTCGCGGGGGGTGCGGCCCGCACGCTGGGCCTGCTTGTCCCTGTCCGCTGCGCAGGCCCCGAGCCCTGCCTTTGGCCGGTGGGGATCGTGCTGGCCTCGCACGCGTCCAGGACGAGAACCGCCAGTCACTTTGATGGCGTGCAGAGCCTGCCCACGGCAGGGAACAGTGGGCCTGTGCAGCCGTGTCCTCAGGTGCTGTGACCACGTCCAAGTGTGTGGGACGCTGCCCGGTCCCGCTGTCCTTTGTTCCCGGGGCCATGCCCTGCAGCCCCCAGGGGGAGGTGTGTAGCTTGGACCTGGCGGCGTGGAGCAGTGTGGCCTCAGAGACGCCCTGAGGGCGCTGGCCCCGGAGTGCCAGTGGGCAGAGTCCAGCCCCGAGGACGCGTGTCCGCCGGGCGGGCCAGCCTCTCCTGCAGCCGGCGGGAAGTGTTTTCACTGTGGTGTTTTGTTTGCTCTTCGGTTCGTTCGATCTTCTTTGAAGTTTGCCGCTTGATATGCTTTAAGATGCCACGTTGCTCTGAGGGCTGTTTGTGCTGTGTGATTGCGTGTGTTCAGCGACACTGCTCGTCCAGCCGGGACCTGGACCCCGGCGTGCTGCCCCCGCCCAGTCTTCGGGCTCGGCTCCTGGGAGCCCTGGTCCGAGCCGGGCTGCTTGGCGGGGCGGTGTCTGGACGCACGCACATTGCGCACACC